ATTCACTCGTAAAAGTTTTGGTTCCATTATTTCTATGGAAATGAGTGTAGTTTTAACATAATTTTAAAAACATATTACAAGCATATATGAAATACTAATTTAATTTTACACAATGAATGGCTAAAAAAATGTTTCTATTAGAGTAAGAATTCATTTAACTTTCGTTTAATTCTCTCTTCTATTGTAATTTTTAAAATGATTTAACAAAACGTTGACTTTTATGGATACAAAGCAATGCTAAAAAAGTAAACATTTTCATACCAATAATAAATTATTTTAAACACGCATAAAAGTTATTCAAAGCAATAATTAAGCCTTTTTTGTTAATTAAAACTTTTAGTCGATTATCATTTTAAATAAATCATGTGAATAGAGATCTAACGCATTGGCTAAACAGATGCGATCATATTTTACCACAAACTGGTTATATCGATGGCAATGGCAGGCAATGGGCGCTGGGGTTGAAGCCCAGGGACGACGACACTGTCTTTCGTGCACACGATTCTGAGCGTTGAATTCAATCTGCTTTCACTGCTATAACAAAGTTTTGCCCCAAACCTAATGAACTGTATATTATAGGGTATTGTGTGGCCCTTCATCTCAGATGCATTCAACAATTTTTATCGATTCGTTTGCAAACCGTATACAGAATTATTAATTCAATGACAGTTATGTGAGTAAGTTATCAATGGATAGATAGAGCAGTTATTTCATTCAATAGTGTAAAATTAAATTAGTATTTCATATATGCTTGTAATATGTTTTTAAAATTATGTTAAAACTACACTCATTTCCATAGAAATAATGGAACCAAAACTTTTACGAGTGAATAATTTTGATAAAAATACTAACAATTTATTAAATTGTGACAATCAATGGATATATTCAATACCCAATTCTCGTCTCGCGGTTGACGTTCAAAGTATTGACTTTAGTTACAACAAAAATGCATTAATTCTGAATGAGTTAAGCATTAAAATTCCAAAAGGTTTGTGTAATTTATTAAACATATTTAATTTGCAACTAAATTAAACGCCAATTGATAACAAAAGGGCGAATATTCGGTCTTTTGGGTGCGAGTGGTTCGGGAAAGACGAGTCTCTTGCGTCTAATATTGGGTCGATTGCGGCCTAAGAAAGGGCTGATTAAGGTGTTTGGCGTACGACCGGGCAGTTCAAAGTCCAATATACCGGGCAATGGGGTCGGGTATATGCCTCAGGAGACGGCACTATTCAACGAATTCACCATAACTGAGATTCTATACTATTTCGGTACACTATATCACATGGATTTGAGTAAAATTCGCCAAAGGATTATCCATTTGAAGGAATTGCTTAATTTGCCCCAAAATGAGAGACTTATCGGTC